TCTTTGTTCTCTGTTGTCATAAGCACTCACTCTTTCTGATCTTCCTTCCACTTATCACAAACAACTATTCTGCTGCTGGCTATTTGTTTGCTTTTCCTCATCTTCATATTGGGGGCTACTTGTAATCATAGCCACATCTGACTTCACTCTAAGCTCTATTTTAAAGCTAGAGGCAGTGTAATTATGCGGCTCTGGCAGTTCATCAGAAAGGTCCAATCATTAATGCTGAAATTGAGTCTGACCTCATCTTAATCATCTCCTTGGGCTGTTTTACTGTAATCTGTCCCTGCTGCCTCTTCATTATTCTCCATGTTTAAAGCAATGAGATCAGCTCCTGTGAAGTCTTCTCTTGGCTGCTGCTCGTTTGCCTGAGAAAAGGGTAAAATAAGTAAATTACCCAACATAACATGTATGTGTGCCTTAGGTAAAAAAGGTAGCACAGCATTCACCATTGCCATATGAAAAGCAGCTAATTAAATATCTCCAGTGCCCTTCGGATGTTGTGTTAAGAGCAGACCCCTCTAAGGAAACTGCCAGAGAATGTCAGAGTTTTTGGTAACACTTCACTTTAATAAGGCTACATGGCACGTATGTCAGCTCTTCATGACTGACATAGACCTACACTCTTAAAAAAGATGGTTCTTCAAAGGTTCTTTAGTAAAGGCAGTGGTTCTATATGGAACTTTAAACACTCAAAGAACCATTTGCATGCTTTAAGGGTTCCTCCTTGATGAAATATTTCTTCAGATTGTGTTGAATATGGTTCTCTTCATAGCACCAAAATGGGTTCCTCTTGTTGCATTGTTACAATGTCAAGCTTGTAACAATAGAAAAAAATCCTTTTTGGTGCTATAGAGAACCCTTTTCAAAAAGGGTTTATATAAAACCATATACAACATATTCTCCATCAGTCTGAAAAACTATTTGATCACACAAAAAACTCTTTAAGCATGCGAATGGTTCTTTGATTGTTCATGGTTTCATATAAAACCATTGGGCCTCATTCACCAATGTCTTCCTAAGTTTTTTCTTATTTGTTCTTGAGAAAGGTCCTAAGAAAAAGTCTACATCAGATTCATGACGTGTTCTTAAACTGCAGAACTGTTCGCACGTTTGTGCTCTTGAGTGTGTGTAGATTCTGTTCTTACCTAAGAACCAATCTCAAATATCAAACATTGGTGAATGTCAGAACCTTTGTGAAAACTGCGCAAGTGGGTTTAAGAAGAAATTTCTTCTTAAGAATGGTTCATGAATGAGGCCCATTGTCTTTACTAAAGACCCCTTGAAGAACCATCTTTTTCAAGAGTGAACATAAAAATTTATAAACACTTATGCCAGTAGGTGTCATTTCTCATAAAGATTGCCTTTGCCTACTTTGGTGTCAAGTTAAGCAAGCATCTATGTCAGGTGATATAGATTTTTTTTATGATATTACATTGCGTCATGACATTTTCTGGGGTGAAATCACTCTTTGTATCTCATGTACCAGTGAAATCATGCTGTTAGTATCACATAGCTTGCCAAGTTGGGCTTGTTGCACAAAAATGGGCATTTTCTGTGACTTTTAGGTAAAGTGAGTTTCATTTTGTTATCATTTTATTCATTTCCTTATGTCATAGTGAAATACACTAATATACAAAATCAGTATGTCACGTGACATAGATGTTATGTCAACTTGGTCATAAAGTTGACAAAGCAGCCTTTACGACAGACGACACATACTAGAATAAACCTTATCCTACAGTAAAATGTTACCAAGCTTTTTTTAGCTAAAGTAATTTCTCTCTTCAAGGATAGCTAGATGATATACTTTCAAAGAGCACAGACTGTCAATGGAATATTCTATTTTGGACATTACACAGTTGTCAATGTCCTGAGCTTTAAACAGACTACACTGGGTTTGTTACAGCTAGAGAGGTAAGAAATAGACAGAGCAATCAATGGACAGAGAAAGCCCATAGCCAGAGATATATTGAACAAAGTGCTATATCCTGAACTGCATGTGAAGGAACTGTTCCATTAGGATCCTAAATGCGTGGTTTTTCACAGCTGGAGGTGGAGACGAGCCCATCTGCGCCAGAGGAATTGAGGAAGAGGAAGAAAAAGGGGGGGTTGGCCTGTCTCGTCTCAGCCTCATAAAGCAGTCAGACTCAGAGAAAGTGCAGTAAAAGGGCAGGTAAACTAAATATTGTGGGTGCGTTTTTATTTTATTAGCTGCATTTGAGACATTTATCCACTTTGTTAATATTTACTATCCTGTGTTGTATTCTAATAGAACATTTTGTTATTTCGGCTGGTCGTCTGAGTGTTTATTTTAGCATTCTTTTCTGCTGTTTTTAGAGTTCCTGTAGAGCTGAAAGGTTTCATCCAAAGTTCTATGAACTTTTCAGTAATATATAGATGGGATATAGTACAGTTTGGCAAAACAATGACTTTGTGACACTTATTTGACTGAACAAATGAATAAACTGACTGCTTGCTAGCCACCCTGCCTGTCTGAGTGTGTGTTGTGCTTGGAATGTTGCCTTGTTGAACGCTTTAGCTGTACTTGTTAAAGTTGTTTGCACTTTGAGTTTTAAAGCGGTTTAGCTTAGCTAGCGTGCTTGACCATTGACATGATGACAGGAACACTCAAGTGCTAAATACCCAGCTGATAATTAGAAAGGGGTCGTCAGAAAGGGCATTAAAACAAGACATTGGACTAAGGAGTTACTTCCATATTCATTTTATGGTGCACCAATTACTCTTACACTAGCTTTAGGTACACACAATATGATATGAGATAGTTTACTAAATATCAGTTTATACTTTAAGTGCATGCAAGTCAAGGATCTTTAAACTTTTGAAAGGTCCTTCACAGTCACACATGTCATCAGCACACAGCACACTCTCTTCAGCATTCATTGAAAAGTTCTATAGGGAATCTAAAGTGGTTCTTCTATGGCAGGGGTGTCAAACTCAACCACTAAAGGGCCATATTAAAAAATCTCAACAAATCAGTGGTCCAGAGGAAAAAAGTGCTTTGCTGCAAAGTACATTAATACTTGGGCTCATTGTCTGAGCTGCTGAGATGATTAGGTGTTAGGTATTTATATTGGTTGAACTGCAGCTGAAATGCAGCTAGTGTGTTTGGTGATATGACTGGTGTGGAATTGCGTAGAATTGAGGTGTAACCCCTGTCCCATAGATTGTTGTTGGGGTAGGAGAGTCAGAGCACACGTTACATTGCAATGCTGGGGACTGTAGTGCAGCACACTGTGAAACAGGCTAATATCAATAGAAAATTAAAATACTATTGCGGGCCGTATAGGATTGTGTTGGGCCTTGTGTTTGACCATTGGGTTCTATGGCATCCAAAGAACTGTTTTTACCACCTTTATTTATAAGAGTGGTAAATATTGAATAAATACTGTGCTATGTGTGATATAAAGTTAATATTACTGGTATTCTTACTTTGATTTTACTAACTGGCAGGTGAATTATCGGCATCTTTAGACCTTTTTATTTTTTGGTGAATTCACTTTTAAATGTTTTTTTTAACTGAAAGCTGGTATTGGTTAGTTCTACAGAATGTCTCTGCCTTCTTGACTGCCTCCTTACTCTTTAATCCAGACTGTCATAAACCACTAATGAATCACTTTTGAACTTTCTTTTTTAAAGCCAAACTCTAAACCCTACCCTAACATTAAATATAAAACTTCCCTTACCTAAGTATTAATCCATCTCCCCTCAAGCAGACCTCCCTAAAACAGGCAATTCTCACACAGTGCAGGTCCTGGCCTGCAGCTCTGAGGACCGTGCATTAGTTTCCTCACAGGCAGGGGCAGCTGCTCCACAAGAACTTCAGGCCGACGGTGCTGCAGGCATGACATTCTTCACCCCACAACATAATGGGAGCCTTTCATAGGCGCTATCTGGAAAAGTCATAAAAACTTTCAGCCACAGCGAGGGGATCTTACAGAGCTGAGACATTCCTCTAGCCTCAGGCATCGCTTTCCTGCATGCAGATACAGCATCAGCATGTCAGATGCACCTTTTCACTTGAAAGGGAAATGTAAGGTTCTGAGGAGATGACAAGGTTGTATGTAAGACGCAAATGCAGTGGATCAAAACATTCGAAAACCTGTATGAGATATGCAAATGCAGTGAATTAAAACTTGCAAAGCAGCACTGACCAAAAAAGCCTGCTTACACAAAAAGAAACTACATTTGACTTTGGTCTATAAAGCTGATCAAAAGTTTTTGTTGTTTGTTAATAATCATTTAGAAAAAAAAAATGTTTTGCATTTATTTGTTTATGTACATATGTTGTTGAGAAATGTCTGCCCTATGTGGCTCAAAATTACTGCTTTGGGCGAGATAATTAAAGAAAGGCACTGAGGGCTAAATACATGTTTAGGACGCTTCCCCTCAGATTCCTCTGTCGACAAAAAAAGTTTTGAATGGTTTCAAGAGCATGGTGCTGTTCATTTCAATCTGTTTTGGAGACTTTTGCTCTGTTTTCTGTTTGCACTGCATGTTTATGGGAAGAATCTTACACAGCACTGTAGTCAGAAGTGCATATGCATGCTTATTCCTGTAGAAAAAACAGACAGACAGACAGAAGGCCATCACCTACTCTATACTGCAGGCTATTGTAGTCTAGTATTTCTTGCCCAGATTACATCTCGCCTTACATTGTACATGTTTTGTTTTTAACATATCTCCCCGTCACAGTAGAGACGCACAGGCCAGAATGAATGCAGAACATTTGGAAAATGTCAGGCTTCAGCCTTTATATATAAATTTACCACATTCGCCACAAAGTATAATGACTCTCTTGCCTGTGTGCTGTATATATTTTATACTGAATGGAATTCCTTGTAGTACTCATTGCCTCTGCTTTTCTCTGCCTAGAGCTTAAGGAAGATTTGTTATCTTTGTGATTTACGGACTCTGGCTCGCAGTTATGGCTGCATGATTTGTCTTAATCAGCACTGTTTCTCTGCTCTGTCTTTCAGGGTCTGAGGGCAAGACTAAAGCTGAGAGTGAAGCGGCGCTACATCGTGGCCTCCCTGTCTCTGCTTGTCCTCTCAGCGGTGATGATCAACACACACTCACCCTCCCCCTCTCAACAGAAGAGGCTGCCCTCACGACGGCCCCTCCATAACCAGCCCACTGGGCTAAAAAGGACGGGCCCCAAACTACCTCTCCATCAGCTACCTTCAAATGGCCATAGCGGAACCTGGAAGCTTTCTAAAAATAAAGATTCAGCCAAGCACCAACTAGTTGTTGGCCACCATCAACACAGAGGCAACAATGTGCATGAAAAAGTCCAACAAGCAACGAAAAAGAAGATGAAAAACAGTACAAAAAGGACATTTACAAAATCAAAACAAGGCAAAAGCAAACACTCATCCCAGATGTTTACAGCCAGTGCAAAGCGTAGACTTGCTAACAAACCAGGCAATGGCAGTGACTTCAAATATGTCATCCAGCTTCCTCTTCCCAGACCTGATCAAACCATACCACAGCCTGCCAGTGTGCAGAGTCTCCACCCTTACATTAAGCCATGCAGGCACAAATGTACTCCAGATGGGTCTAAGCCAGAGAAGCTGGTGGGGCAGTCTGCGGAACTTAAATGGGGCCCAGGAAAAACCAAAACACATGAAAGACAAGCAAAGCCAGCTGAGAAGAGGAGGCACCACTTTCCGGTGGAGAACAACAGTATCTCTGGGGCAGGGGCTGAGGGAAAGGGCTTTATGGCTGGTTGGTGTGAAACCTCACATAATAAAGCTGAAGGCTTGAACTGGACCAAAGCAGAATCTCTACCCTGGCTTAGTCGTGAAGATGTGGAGAAGATGCATTTGCTTGCCAGGGGCACTGTGCTGAGCAAAGCCAGAATTCCAGGCCATGGACAAGTGCTCCAGGTGGGACTTGGTGGTCACAATGATACTTCTTCACTAGTTGGGGGCCATAGCAAAATCTGCCAAACAGGAAACTGTGCTCTAATCAAGCGCCCCAGTGACTGGTTTGAGGTATTTGCCTTCCACTTAGACAGGGTCCTGGGTCTGAACAGGAGTCTCCCTGCAGTGCTAAGGACATTCCACAGCGATCACCTTCCATATAAATATACCAATGGTTCTCCGAGACCTGTGGTGTGGTGGGACCCAGATATTCAGCATCTAGATGATGATGATAATGACCAGAACTCTTTCTCTCTCACCTGGCCCCAGTACCAGGCTTTACTGAAGACCAGGTGTGGCAAGAAGGTGCCTTTGAACTCATCTGGGTGTGTAGGAGTGCACCATTCAGAGTGGGCACGACTGGCGCTGTTTGACTTCCTGCTACAGGTGAGAGGTTAATCCTTCGAAGCCTAGAAATTATTGTTTTACTGTAAATTCAGTCTAGATTACATATTAAATATCTGTATATCTGCAAATGCAAAGGTTCTATACCGATTAAACGTTTTATTTTTTTCTAGAAACATCCAAGGACCATTTAAGACACTTTATTTTTAAGAGTGAAGGTTCAAATCATCATGACATACACTAGATGAAGTATGTGGGCACCCCTCCTAGTTAGTGAGTTCAGGTGTTTTTGCCTCACCCAGTGCTAGCAGATATGTAAAACCAAGCACATGGCCATGCAATCTCCCCAGACAAACACTGGCAGTAGAGTGGGTCATACTGAAGAACTCAGTGACTTTAAACGTGGCTCTGGCATAAAATGCCTCCTTTGCTACAAGTCAGTTTGTGAAATGTGTGTGCTGATAGATCTCCCCTGGCCAGCTGTAAGTTTTCTGGAACAGTGGAAATGTGTTCTCAGAAGTAGCGAATCACATTTCACTATCTGGCAGTCTGATGGACGAATCTGGATTTGGCAGATGCCAAGAGAATGCTACCTAGCAGAGTGCACAGTGCCAACGGTAGAGTTTGGTGGAGGAGGGATAATGGTCTGAGTCTGTTTTTCAGGGTTTGGGCCCCTTAGTTCCAGTGAAGGGTAATGTTAAAGCTACAGCATACAAAGACATTTATGACAATTAATTGCTTCCATCTTTGTGGCAACATTTTGGGGAAGGCCCTTTCCTATTCCAGCATGACTGTGCCCTGTGCACAAAGTGAGGTACATAAAAGACTTGATTTGATGAGTTTGGTGTGGAGCAACTCCAGTGGTCTGCACAGAGCCCTGACCTCAACCCCACTGAACATCTTTGGGATGAATTGGAACATCAACTTTCTTGTCCAATATCAGTGCCTGACCTCACAAATACTCTTCTAACAGAATGCTCACAAATTCCTACAGACACACTCCAAAATCTTGTGGAAAGTCTACCCAAAAGGTAGAGGCTGTTATAGCTCAAAAGAGGAGGAAGCTTATTAACATATTAATACCCAAGGTTTTGGAATGGGATGTCCAACAATCTCATATAGTTGTGATGCCCAGGTGTTCACATACTTTTGGCAATATAGTGTTTCTCCTTGATTCAAAGTGTAGAATCTGCACAAGTGATAAGTAATTAAACAAAATGATTGCTAGTTCAGACCACACCTTCAGTATATCCTTGAACTATAAGAGACTGTATGACTGAATGAGGGAAGAGAACTTTGAGAACTTGGACTGGGTGGCTTCTGCTTGAGCTATAAAGCTGGACCTCCCCTTTGATGAACTGGAATTGAACTGAGGAACAGGGAGGGAATGGGCTGAAAACTTTGCAAAAACATTGTTGCAGGAAACACTAGGTGGAGATGGAAATTTACAGGATGTTTGATTTGAAAGAGCGGGAGCTTCAGTCATGGTCCTTCCCCAAAAGTTATTTCATAACTCCAGTAAGCAGAGTCTGGGGCAATACTGCTTTTTTGCATATAATAAAGTTTTATTTTGAACATTACATTAAACATAATATATCTGTTTCATACTGAACATCAGGGGCAGTCAAAAAAGTTAGTTCAACCAAAAACCCGAAACACTTTTATGGTTATTTCGGTGTTCTGTATTGGAGCTTCTTTGTTTAAACTACTCTGATTAACAGTTATTTTATGATTCACAGTATGAAATGGACGGCAGTGCCAAGTAAACAGTGACTCACCTGCCAAGGAAAGATTGAAAGCTACCATGTGGAGATCTTGATTAGCTTTTTTTTATCATCATAGTTGTTACTTTTTCCTGTCAGAAAGCCCACCCCACCCTTATATAGTTTATAATGAGCCTTGAGTTTTGTTGGGCTTGCTCCTCATATATGGGTTCTTTTGATTAGTCTGGTCACAGAATTTCATGGCTGTGTTTGCAGAGTGGACTACATATTGGGCAGTTCATTCCTTTGTGAATCACAGACAGGTTTTACAACAGTTGGGTTGTAGTTTATTAAATGTATAAATAAAAAGACTGCATGTAATTACTGTGAGTATATATCTGCTTAGTTTAATTATCCTCTCTGTAAGCCACAATCTTGGATATGTTCAGCATTTGTGTCAAAGTGAGAGTGTCACAGTGAGAGTTAAAGGCAAGTGTAATCCACCAATTATATTTAATGACACTATTAAGGGCTACAGAAAGAATCCTAATGGAGTTCTTAGGTGTAACAGCACCCTATAGGGGACATGTGTCTCACTGCTTCATAAACAACTGCAGTCAGTGGAGAACTTCAATTAGGGAGGAGACCGTTATTAGCAGGTATTAGAGGACTCGGCCTTTGTTTACTCTTCTCTTCCTGCCTGTTAACACACCGGCGCACTCACCCTCTAAAGAATGGGTGCACAAAACGCTTTCTCAGACATTAGAAACAGTTACCATGGTGATGAGAAAAATGATGTGATCGTGAGAGCGCTAGTCTCTCCAACACAACAAGAGCGAAGTCTCACCTAAAAGGTGATAAATAACAGACTGAGAGTGATAGGCTAATTATTTCCTTGCATATCTTCTCAATATACTTTCTTAAACAATTTCTGCTCTTTGTGAGCATATATACAGTATATACATAATATACAGTAGAAGGAAATATGATTATATTAGCAAGCCCAGCCATAAAGAGAAGACTGTGTATGATATAGAGTTATATTACATGTTAGTAATGCTGAGAATGTCTCAAGGGTTTAAGTCATATCTGCATAGTGTGCTGTGGACCATGTCTTGAAAATCTCTGAAAATCTGATTTGGTGAGTTTATTTGAAAAGTAGAAAAATGGTAGCTAAAATTATCACCTTAAATTCCCAGTCTTATTACATTCTGAGGCTCATTACTCAGAAATGACATGGAATGCAATGCAAACTGGTTATGAGTTATAAATAAAATAAAAATGGAAAGACTGAATTAAGCTCTAAGTGTATTATACATGCTTTCAGGATCAAAACGAAAGAGAGAGAGAGAGGTAAGCAGGGATAACCTACAATGTCAGGACAAAACCCTGACAAAAATCTTGACCTTGCAAAGTTCTTTTTCCCAAAGTTATATGTTTCCTTTTTTTAACTGAAAAGGCAAATCATTTCTTTTTGGTTGTTGAGGGTAATGTTAGGGTTTAGAGTTACATTCATTACATATATAATCATATGCAACAGTTTGGGTGCCCCTGGTCAAATTACATGTTTTGTTGATTTTCTAAGTGAAAAAAGTTAACACTTCCTCTACAGAGAGCACACTTAAAAACAGCATTTTTCTTTTTTTGAGTAATAAAATAAAACATAAGATATAAAATGCACAATAAAATTGCACAGGCCAATTTTGAGGTTTCTTTCTTTTTCTTCTTTTTCTAGTATGTCTAATTCAGCAAATGAATTGTACTTAACATCAAATTTGCAGATGTGTTGCCTGTAGAGGATGTGTACTTTTATACATGTAATTTGACCACAGATTTGATTCCTGTCTCCTTCCTGCACCTGCTTTAATTTAATGAAGGACTGAAGTGGGTACTGGATGCATACTGTAAATACTGGACTTCCTCAGGGAGTTTTGAAATGGTCAAGCTAACACGCTGACAGACATAAAAATATAATGTATGGTGTATTTATTTATTTATTTATTTGTAATCATTCTTTTTTTGAACATATAAACACTTACTGCCCGGATAAATGGCTTTAAAGATCATTTTCTTGCATGCCTGGGATTTTTGCCCAGTACTGCATGTAAGACTTACATCCTGACCAGGCATAAAAATAAGTGTGTGTGTGCGTGTGTGTGTGTGTGTGTGTGCATGTGTGTTCACAGATAAGTTATGAATAAAACATAAGTAGTCACGAAGAGAAAAGTCAATAAGTGTAAGGCAGCCAACAGCTAATAGCGCGGTATTGATCTGGTGAAATTGCTGAGTGGGGCCGTGAACACTTGTTCCCAGCTCCTCATTTACAGCCCTGATGGCACTGAGGCGCAACTTAACACCCATAAGCGTGAAACAGTGTGAAGGACACTTTGACTGTCACCTCAGGAACAGCAGAGCTTCTGTGCTCTGTCTGAACTGAGGGACTGAGAACTTTGACATGGTTGGCTCTCCTTCAGAGCAGCTCTTGAGAGGAGCATATAATAACTGCGATCAGCCACTACAAACAGTTCAATCACTAATCAGGTTACATTGTATTCCCTTAATAATGAACAGTATTTGGCAGACTGCCAATATTCAGGTTCATGAATAAAGTTTCTCTACGCAAGCTGTGGCCAACACATGATTATTGTTCTGCTGTGATTTGTTATTTCTATAGTTGACAGTGACTTCAGTTTTCTACCCCTGTTTATGATGTGGGGTGCACACATACACTCGTGTATGTGTATGTGTGCATTTGTGCTCATCTGTGGGCCTGTTTATACCTTGGATCAGCATGTGTTTTTTGTGGTCTGATCACGTTCAGATTTCACTTGAAAAGTAAAAAGCCAGGTGAACAGCCTGAAAAGCCCCAGGACACACTGTGATTAGGTTAAGATTGCATCAGTCATGCAGCCCAAACACTAACTTTTTCTAAGTGAAAATAAGTTAACATGTTCTCTACAGAGAACACCCTTTTGTACATTTTAATGCACAACTACTGTTTATCTGCTGAATTTAACATATTGTAAATGAATAAACTGTGACCTTTGTGAAATTGCACCTAGAAATAGAGCAGTAACATTTGAAGAAAATGCTGTATTTAAGTGTGTTCTCTATATAGATGAAGTGTTAGCAAATCAACAAAACATGTTATTTGACCAGGGGTGTTCAAACTTTTGCATATAATTGTGTGCACAAGGAGTGTCTCATATTTATTGCAGGTTAAGCTACATTTTGATTACATTCTAATTGGTTAACCACAGTTGCCTGCATTGAGCATCATGATGAGTATTAAAGAACACAGTGTAGTTGCTGGAATGAAACAGTTCTCATCAATAAAAAAAGACTTGTCTTTGAAGATCTTAATAATAAAAGAGGTATCGCTGCATGTTAGTCAAAGCAAACCAATATGTTGCAGGCGAGTGTTTTTCTGTTGTAACAGTGTATTAAAAATCGCCTACCTCTACACATCACACAAAAACAACCGTCTGTGGTGGCTTATTCTTCATGTCAGTTGAACAGCTTGAACAGCCTTTTTCTGTCAAAGACAAAACACAACAGACTGTCTGACAATAGTACTGTGCAACTGATGACGTACGATACAACTTCACATGTGTACAGTAATTTGCAAGAAGCTTAAAATATAAAGACATTTTAGATGTGTCCAGATGAGTGGAGCTGGACTGATTCCTAGAAAGCTGTATAGCAGTAGTTATAATAAAAGTATGATTTGTTTTTGCAAAGCGTTGATCCATATTCAAGGCAGATACTAGAAGTTCTTGTTTCCCCAAAATAAACAAAACTGAATAAAACATTCAATCAATGCCATTTGAGGTGGGGTTTACATTATTTGAAGAGTTTTATTCCAGTTTATATACACTTGTAACAATTTTGGATATAAAAAGTTTTTGAAAGGAATAACAGCTGAAGTATAATGAGAATCATATAACAAAGGTGGTGTTAATAATAATATTGCATTGATATTTCTTGTATGTGAAAGCCAACTCCCAACAACATAAAACAAAAAAAATAAAAATTTGAAAGTGGTCTGAAATGTGCTTTGGACAGAAACTCTTCATTTATGCCTTATATTGCTGTCAAATAAGCTAACAAAAAACAATGTATAAAACAACGTATTCAGGTTTTTGAGCAGTGGTGTGTGGGCATGGATGAAAAGGTACTTAGTAATTTCCACATTAATTAAATCATTTCAATGAATGCTATTCTGTCTTTCAGTTTACATACTTTTGGCAGTATTTGTGTGGATGCAATATGTTTTATTCATGTGGAAATCTGAATAAAGTAAATTCAGCACATTACTCAGTGTGTCTGCTGATGATCTGCCTAGCTGACTAAGGCAAAGACTTGTGAAACAATACAATATTTAGAATTTACAGTGCAGAATCTTCCTCAGTGGAAATGGTTTGTGGCAGTCAGTGTGGTTCACTGGTGGTGCTAGTTGTTAGGATTAGGCAAGAAAACCCTAAGGTTGCCTCTGTGCTGGCTGGATGCAGATAGGATGTGTTTCAGTCTGCCACAGTGAAAGAATACATAATGTACTGAATATTGTCTGCCTGTGATACTGTTACACTACGACAGAGGCTGTCACATTGAATTAACACTAACATGAATAAAAAATACATATCATGTGGTTTTATGATATCTGACTCATGTCTTCATGATCTGGGTATCCCATATTAGGACGTGGCAGATGTGTCTTATTATAAATTACTTTATTTGTGGTCCTCCTTACAGTGCGGTTAGGTTCCTCAGACTGCCTGGAGCATGCTCAGCAACATCCTGCCACTGTCACAACAAAACCTTGTGTCTCTAAAATTGAAACTTTATAGTAGAATGGAAAAATTTCCTAAACTTAAGTCTGTGTTAATGTAATGAGATTTTATTCCAAGTAATGATGGACCCTTTCTATTTTTAAATTCATCGTGAAACATTCACCCAGTGTAAAGCTAATGTTTTCAAGTGCCTTACAAAAAAGGTTTTGAAGCAACAGTGTGTTTTCTTATCTAGGTTTTGCTCCTGTGCTCAATAGTTAACGTGTTAACATAAAAACAGGTATCACCTCAAGTTCTTGGAGCAGCTTTTCACAGCTGTCTGTGATGTAGCAGGGATGTGTGAGAGCCAGAATACAGGAGGAAAGTGTTAACTTAGACTGTCCCGGTAAAACACACACCTCGAGCCCCTCAGGAGCACATCTCACCGCGCTTCAACCTGCAGTTTGCTCTCACCACCAAATCAGCTGTATACCAACCACACAAGAGCAAAGATTACCCTAACCAAACAACAGCAGGACTATTAAAGGAGTTACCTTCCTCCTTGCCAGAAACATTTTGTATAATATTGCATTTTCTTCCTGAACACCAGATTTGCAATTCCTCTGTGATTAATAAACATTCCATAATCATAAATAGGCCATTTTATTGGGTGGAGTTAGTTCAGACGAAAGTTGCACAATCAGTAAGAAATCTGCTTCATTTGTGGCCCCTTTTAGTTTATTTTCCTACCAAACAACCTTCAGAAAAACTGTTACACGGCCAGAAACTGATACTGATCTTCAATTGTTTCAAAGTAGACCAGGTATAAAAACATTGATTATCCCGTATGGCAAGAAAATATATTTACATATGTTTCAAAATATGTCAGTATAATTCTGAAATATATTTACATAATTTAAAGGTCAGTTGCCCTCTGCCTTGTGTTAAACTTTCATAATAAACATACTAATAAAATGGTCCAAAATTACTTGCTTACTTCCATCGACATCCAGGAGGAGCTTAAAGTAGAGCCACTACTCCTCCACATTGAGAGGGGCCACTTGAGGTGCTTCAAGCATCTGATTAGGATGCCTCCTGGACGCCTCCCACTGGAGATTTACCAGGCGCAGCCTCCTGGGACGAGACCTTGAGGTCATCCTAGGACCCTCTGGAGGGCTTATATCTCTAAGTTGGCCTAGGAGCAGCTTGGGGTCCTCCAGAATGAGCTGGAGGACATTGCGGGGGATTCTCTGCTTTCCCCACTGCTAGCACAAGCCTAGCTGGACCAAGCGGTTAAAGATGATGATGAAAATTACTTGGAAAAAAATTGTTACCTTGACTTCCATTACAACTTAAGAAAGTTTGATGCCTTCAAAGTTACCATCATGAGATATGAGATTTTATTTGTAATTTAACACTAATATACACAGATTGTTAATGTGTAAGAATGAGTTTCTTTTTCTATGAGTGTTTATATTCATGTGTTCCTCTGTTTTTCTCCAGGTGAATGACAGACTAGACCGATACTGCTGTGGCTTCCGGCCCGACCCTGCTGATATGTGTGTGGAAAACCTCCTGAATGTCAAATGTGCAAACCCCAAAGATTTAATGCTGGTGCACATTTTGGTAAATTGAATTATCTCACTTTGTTCTGTCTGTCTGACTATTCAGAAGTATGAAAGTCCTTTAAATGAACCCGAATAATTAAGTTGACACTGCATCACTTAATCAACAAGCATTTTTCAGTAACTGCTTTGCAGGCCGTGAGCCTTTAAGCATATTTATTTTGAGGCAATTTTGTTGTTATTGCTATGTATTTTTTAAACTGTTGTGATAAACATCATTTTCATGTTGAAGCATCTTCCCCCCCCCGAGTCCTTGAGCTGTTCAGGCCCAAAGTCGCTTGTGTGTGAAGTCTGTTTGACTTCCTTTGAGAGGATGCATGCATAAATGATGACACAGTGGCTTCAGTGAAACATAACACTATTGCACTTTTTTATCTCCAGATGCATGTAGTAATAGTGACTTGCCTGGGGATAACAAGAGAGCCGCTGAAGTTGGCAGGGTCTGTTGCAATCGTGATGAAAAAAAATTCCTATTTTCCTGTGCTGAGCAGGAGTTCATCTGATAGAACGTTCCATTTATCATTGTATTACACTCTTTCGTAACTGCCAGAGCAACATCTCATATCATTTTCAAGATCAAACTCTAAGTTTGATACTTTACTGAAGGTCTTTTTCTTTTTCTTGCTCTTTCTCTCGCAGATACTAATGAACTTAAACACCCTACAGTTATTAAACATGCTATTTGTCTGTTTAAACTTTTATTAAAAATAAATAAATAAATGCATTTAATTAAAAACAAGTAACTCTGGTCCACCCACGACACTTTCATTTTCGGGTTTTTTCGTTCATTTTTAGTTTATTTCAGTGTATAGAATTAATGAATAATTTATAAATGAAGGAAGCCATTATTATTTATATGTTTACAAATGTTCACAGTAGGTTTTCAGGGAGGAACAATCTTGGAAATGATGTTTGTAACGTTCTCACAGGTACGTTTTACACTTCTGAAATGATGCTGAAGTAGGCTAAGCTTGGTGTTGTGTTTTACACTGCAGGTGTATAAACAGGCTAAACCTGTCGATTACAAATCCCACAAAATGATGATGAAATCATTTCCTTTGATTTACTTGCCCTTGGAGGAATGTGCAGTGGAATGAGTAGGAAAAAGGACATGAAAGCCATGAAAGGTGAACCTTTTGCAGGGCTTTAACACTTACCAGTCGCTCAAGACTCAGAGAAATAGCATTAGAGTGTGGAGATGGTGGTGGTCATGGTTTGGGTAGGGTGAGGGGATTTGCTCAGCTCGCCTGCAGCACTGCTGCATCCCTCACAGCTTTATTCAGATGACTGGAGAAATACTGCAAATTATCCATGCACCAACAGCATTCAGCAGGCTGTGTGCCAGCTATAGCAGTATGGCTTCTGTCGAAGCACACGATCCACATTAACACATTATATAACAGCTAGAAACACAATATGTCTGTTTTTAATATTATCTGTTCGGTCTGGTGGTCTCTTTGTTAGCATTTTATACAGTACTGTGCCAATGTCAGAGAACACCCTTTCATTTATTCAATTTACAGTATGTAATTATTTAATTTACAATATTTACAGTATGTAAATTAAATACATTTAATTTATTTTATGCGATTTTGTGTTGAATGTTGAATGTTTTTGTATATTTTTCTGACACTGAAAATAACTTAATGTCAGTTTTAAATGGAAATTTAAATAACAAAACAGTGGTCCTTTAACTTTTGCAGTGTTGTATTATATAGCTTTTTGTTTGGTCTGCTTTAGAGATTTATTATTTTACAGCTTGCTTTTTAGTTTGTATGCACTGTATTTGTGTATTTCACTTTATGTATTTGATTATTGCAGTGTACAGTCAACTATATGATCAGGTGGTCTCTCTCTCTGTCACTCTCTCTCTCTCTCACAGGTTCGGGGGTCTGATCCCTCTAGACTGGTCTTCATAGATAATGCAGGCAGACCGCATCACCCACACGACAACCTTAACTTCAGACTGGTTGAGGGCATTTATGAGTAAGCGCTGATGGTGAATCATTACTGTTATATATATAGAGAGAGAGAACTGCAAATCTGTATTCATGAAGTCCCTGTATAAGTGTACTGAATAAGGGCTGATGTTTACAAAATTTCCACAAATACATTACTCATCAGTCATCACTCAGTCTATTCCCTCTTTGACCTTGAAATTTGCAAACGTAATAATTAAGCAGTAGCTAAAATAATTCATTTTCACAAGGCTTTTTTTACAACCAACATTTATCCCTTGGAATAAAACAGTAGAGTGTCACTGTGCCTTAAGACAAATATATGTAAATGACCTCTGTTCTGATTGGCTGCCCTGTATTGGGTGTAAAAGCAGTAGAAAGAGTTGAAAGGTACAGAACATACTGCTTATACTGATACTGAAATTCTCAGGGACATCAGGAACAAAACATGTATCTCCACTTTAAAAATTTTAAAATTATTAATTTTTATTTTTTCTACATTATTTAAGCACAGCAGCTGCTCTTTACATTGTGTGAACATTTCAGGATGAAGGGACCAGGAGTAATGGTCTAATATTACTAAACCGCCATAGGTTGGATGGATGGTACCTTGTGAAAATGTGATTTTAGTTTTTCCATGGCAAAGACCTTTCTAACCCCAAAATAATGTATTAATTAACTGAGGACACTTAACCTGAGTCCAAAGCATTTTGTGATTTCAGGTTTCCAGAGAGAGCCATACGAGTGCTGCGGTCAGGCTGCCTGGAGCAGCTGCTCTTGCACTCGCTGTCTGTGGATAAGGAGCTGTGGGAGAGCAGAGGAGGAGCACCAGGCCTGAGAGCCACCATCCACACCATCCAGCAGAGAGCCAGAGCCCTACTGCAGCACCTCCAGGAGAAGAGACTTAACACTAACATGTGGAACTAATTTAACTAAAATTATCTTACTATTTCCAAAGAAAGGTAAAGTTTGCAAGTAGTGGTTTTAAAGAGCTCTCTGCATAAGGGCATACCAAATATGGTGCTGCACTTGGTTGGACTATGCACAATGAAGTCTCTCTGCTGTGCAGTCATGAGAAAAGATTTGTACTAGTAAGGCTGTAAAACTTGTTATCTTGTTGTGTGTCCTCAAAAATATGAAAGAAGGGGTCCAAATATGTCTATGATCAAATCTCTTAGTCATCTGTGGAGTGTAGAGAACCGAAAGGCACAGCCAAGGGAGGGAAATGGCCTCTAAGCTCTGCTACATTGCTCAGTTGAAATATACTTATCTTACAAGACCCATTCTTCAGTGTTTTAGCTGAGGTATGAGTGAGTGTCAGTCTCCACATGACATGTTTGTGAGTTATACTTCTGTTGTGTGCACAAAAACACACTGTTTTGGTTCATACTTTTTGTTTAAAGAGAATAGGTCAGCACTCATATGAGAGATTTATTAACAGAATTTGGCCAGAGGACGCTATTCTGACATGTTATGAAGACAAATACATGAAATAGGTATTGTAAGTTCTTCACATAATATTTAATATTCATTTATTACATTTATTACACAGTGGGGTCCAAAAGTATGATATCACATGCAAAACCTTTTTGATTTTTTTAAAGCTACACTATGTAAGGGGATTTGGAGACCTCTGTGGTGGAAATGTATAATTGCACACAACATGTAGAAGAACATTTTGTAACATTGGTTGTGCTTCAGACCCCTTCTCCGAGTGGATTAGTCTGATGATTGCAAGCGCATTGAAAGACTATTCAAAGAGAACTCTTTCAAAACTTGGTGAAGGGCGTGTCTTCTGAGGATGTAAGTGAATGATCTACTATTGTGATCATATCTTCATCAGTATGGTTTTAATTTGCATTTAACACCTAAACACAGAGCGAAACCTTCTTTTAGGCCTGTGGTTGTGATGTTAATACATAAAAACAGATGATGTGGTCCAAAAACATCTATGAATCCGGTGGACACAGTAATTTAAGATTACTACTTCAGATTTTACAAGGTGACTCGCAGCAGCACATGCACACAATATTTTTGTGGTTTTTCTCCTGACTCAGTAATGCTACACTGTTAAAAATGATGGTTCTTCAAGAGTTCTGTATAGAACTATATATATAGAAAATGGTTCTATATAGAACCAAGAATACTCAAAGAACCATTTGCATGATTAAAGGGCTCTTTGTGGTTCTGATTTAAATCGATGGGGGATGTGCTATAGATGGTTCTATATAGAACCTTTTTGAAAAGGGTTCTGTATAGCACCAAAAATGATTCTTTAATTGTCACAATGTGAATCTTGTAACAATAGAAGAATCCTTTTTGGTGCTATACAGAACCCTTTTCAATGCTTAAAGTGTGTACTTCAGTCTATTTTTTAAACAAAAACATACATAGTGCAGTGTAAACAACATTTTTGAATTTTTACATTTTTTAAAATGAAGACACATTAGGTCAAGTAACATTAAGAAGAAATATTTAAGGTTCTTAAAATTTCTAATAAGTTCTATATAGAACCATGAACACTCAAAGATCCATTTTCATGCTTAAAGGGTTCCTTGTATGGTGAAATTGTTCTTAGATTTATAGAAAATGTGTTGTATATGGTTTTATATAGAACATTTTTCAAAAGGGTTCTACATAGCACCAGAAAGGGTTCTGCAATTGTTATTGTTGTTAAGCTTCACGTCACAACAATAGAAGAATCCTTTTTGGTGCTATATAGAACCATATACAACAAATTCTCCATCAAAATGAAAGAACCATTTCATGATGTACAGAATGCTTTAAGCATTCAAATGCTTCTTTAAGTGTACATAGTTCTATACAGAACGATTGTCTTTATTAAAGAACCATTGAAGAACCATCTGTTTTAAGAATGTAGCTCACTAAGCAAATTTGTGACCATGTTAAGACGTTTGTCCAAAAAGGTCAGTTTTTTTTAGTCTGATACCTTCCACTGAATCAAGTTCAGTCAACTCAGGTGGAGTTGATCTACTCATCATCCATATCTGGAGTTCACGCCAATTGGAGAGCACACTGTCATTAAAGCAAAAGAGGGATAAATATACTGAAAGAAATTCTGAAATTTCAAAAAAAGTCAATTATTTCACTTTTCATTCAAATTGTTACACTGATAATATAGTCTGTAATTAAAAGAAACTTTGTATTTAATTAGAACAGAAGCCAAAATAGAAATATTTTCACTAGTGCTTTCAGATTCCACCATATATATTATACAACATTCAGTTGGCATCAACAAATGAAACTGGAGTTTCCTAACTGGGATTTGCTATCAAGTTTTTTTCTGTGTTCTAGTGCTTTTCCATATGTGAATATTGTGACTGCCAATCAAACCTCCAAACAGAAATGCACTGCTATCTGTCAGAATGTATCTGGAGGAGTGTGATTTAACTCTGAAGCACAACACTGTAATCATGTCGTAAGATCAGTTTGTGATATTGTCTTCAGGCAAAATGCAGATTGGGCACATTGGGGCAATCAGTTCACAATCTGCTCATGTCACTTCCTACATTCATCAGCTTGATAACACTTTGGGGGAAGATTTCCATCATGCAATTAAAAAAAAGAAGCCTTAGCAAGCATTAAATCTCCACTTTCATCCAGTTCAGTCTCCCACATGTGCCATGTGCCTTTTCTGACTGTGGGCCAGAAAGTTCACTGTGTGTTCTGCTTCCAATCAGACCACTTCCTTTTTAGCTCAACACTTAACAACACTCAGAGTGCGCAAATCTGTAACACCTGAAAATGCTGGCTAATACTGGCTTTGGGATGAATAAATGTCTTATTTTCATATGCTTAAAAGGGAAAGATGGTGTTTTGAACAGTGAATTCCCTCACAGATCAAAATGTGAAAAAAACTTATCTGAAGTAAAAGTAAAGGTGTCTACCCAATAGCTCCACCAAAGAGAGGCTGTTATTATTAAAGAAACACACAACAATTGTGAGATCATTAAAAGCTGTGTAGTCTGATCAACAATGTTGCTTAAGGAGGGCTGAAGTATGCTTCTGAACACTTGGGGGTTCTAAGAGACATCCTACTTTATTTTTCTGTGTTCTAAAAATGTTGTTAGTAAGCAAACTTTGACCTATTCCTGTTATGCAAAACAACAGTTAGCAAAGCTAACAGATTGCCTTTCTCAGTGCGCTGTACTCAGTGGTGAGGACTAGACGTACCATCCAGTAGGGGTGGGCGATAATGGTAAAAATATTATAATGTGATACTTCAAGACATTTTCATGATACACAATATTCATCACATTATTTTACTGATATTTATTAAATAAGAACAGACAAAATAGAACAACGGTCATATATTAAAACTACTATAATAATAATAATAATGAACCTAAAACTGTAATGATTTTTATTTAGTGTATCACAAACTACACTGCACTAAATCCAATTAAACTGGCCTGAGTGTGCTCACTTTGTAATAAAACATGTAGTTAGTTATCCACAATATGCTCAGAAAAGTGTGTTTTGACAAAAAAAAGATATCATTATTACGATAAAATATTCAGTCATATTGCCCACAACTACTGAATACTTTTGGACATACAGTGTATATATACCTTTATAGAATATTATGTATAGTACCTTAGGTACTATAGGCTTGCTCAGATCAGACACAGCTCACTCTGTCTGGTCGTACTGCAAGCAGAAGGCACATAGAAAGGTTCAGCTTCACCAAATTCTACTGTTATCAAGTCAAGGTTTGCTTGAAGCTTATATAGATAGAGTTAGACTGTTTGAGAGTAGAGGCAAAAATCTTATATCTCGACAGGACATGATATGTCCAGAAAAGCATATTGTATTGTATTGTGACATAATTTATCATGAGCTCAGCTCTAACACCCAGGCCATTTTTATCCTCAAACATCATTTATCATGCCAGACGATGAGTTGTTTAAAGGGGACTTAAATTTTTTAAAAAATGTGTGCATAATTTAATGGTTAAGATGTAGACAAAGTAATTCAGAGTGGTTTACTGTGAAGACAGAGTTGTTCACAGTGGTAGTGATAGGAACCAGACATCTGGCATGTTTAATGCCTCTAAAAGCTCTCTCGCAAAAAGCTACTACCTATGCCTGAGACATTGTTTTACAATAGTTTTGAGATGAGCTTTTAGCCTAAAACATATTTTTTAAAATACATTCATGGTGGTGAGGTACTATCACCATTACATAAAACACGTGTAGGTTCACTAGTTCTTTTAGTTAGAAAACAAAATGGTTATATTTGTGTTGTAGACATTACAACCCCTGGTTTCTATCACCACCACTGATGGTAGGTCGGTACGTTTATCGACAATGAACCATTTCACATCAAACCACACTGGATGACTTTGTTTATATCACAACAATTAAATTATGCAGATATTTATGAAAAAAAAAATCTGTGAAATTCCCTTTTAACATGATGATCTGCCATTATGGGATTTTCTGAAATCATTCCTTGTGCACCTCATGCCCTGGATTAATTTACAAACCTGGAACAGTTGGCGTTTAGTTGTTATTACATTGCAAATCCAATGACTTTTTTCTAAAGTTCAGTGTAATAAAAGTCAGTCTAATAAAAAAGGTCAGTGTAAGAAAAGTGCATGTTATTCGAAGTACATATAGAACATTGTTTAAACTAGTAGAGTATGAGAGCAGATGAGAACAGCATGTACACTACTTCTACCGCATAGTAAGAAACAGCAGATATATGAGAAAACAGAGGTTTTCTATTCCCACTATACCTTTTGCAAAATAAATACATACTTACAGTGTAAAAAAGTTATAAGAAACCTAAGACTGTGTTAGTCAGAGGGTAGAATGTTCTAATGCTGAAGGAAAAAGTGGGTTTCATAGCCAGTACACTGCAACCCGGTACAGACTCATTGCCCTCACTTCACTGGGGAAAGAATGAACTAATTCCAGTGCAAATGCCAGGCCTGTAGGCACAACCGAGTGTTGACTGACTGAAATCAACCACTCAACTGGCAGAGATGTTGCTCTCTTGTTAGCAAAAATGTTATATCCTCTACAGGGAACAAACTTAAATGTGGGATTTGTCTGCAAATTTTAGTGCACAATTTCTTTTTATTTGGATATATTGGAAAAAAAAAAATATATAATATAAATCAAGAAAACTTTTGCATAGGACACATTTTATGTTTTTTTTTTTTCCCAGTATGTTAAATACAGCAAAATAAACAATAATTATGTATTAAAAAGAAATGGGTTCTCTG